GAGCAGTGCTTTTCTATCACACAATGTGCTTGATGCCTTCATCCATTTCAACCATCCTACTTAAATTCTATTAATAATATCCCCATCTATCTCACCATCACTTTGAATAATAGACTCAAAATGTCTAAAATGTTCAGGCCTTTTAATGACTTGATCACCTATTGTTGCAACCCTGTCACTAAATCTACTACTACTAAACTTACCTTCCATGTATTCAATATTAGATCTACTCAAAAGAAAGCCTTTAGACTTTAAAGTTGACTTTAATAATGCAAGTTATTCCTGATTTCTTTCTCTAGTCTTATCGACAAGAAGGATATCATCATCGAAAAATATACACAAGAAAAATACTTGATTAATCATCATACTGTTCGAACACTTATAATAGCTTTAGTATACATATCCTTAGTAACTTGAATATAAGTCATATCATCACCTTTCTTTTTAAGAATTTTCCAAAGAACTTCTCTTGGAATCTCATTATAATTTTTTTTCTAAATCAACAAATATCATATGTCGATTCTCCTTCCTCTCTATGTAATTCTCCATCAAACCTCTAAATAAATGTATAGCTTCCATAGTAAACTTGCGCGACATAAATTCAAATTGATTTCGAGAAATTTGTGAATCACGTTTTAATCTATGTTCAATTACTCTCTTCTATACTTATTCGTATCAGATATTAACTTAATTCCTCTATAATTTGCACGCTATTGTACATCATCTTTATTCTTAAAAATAGAGACCAAATTATTTTTCCTCTACTCGTAAGGCATATTTTTAGTTTTTAAAATAACATTAAAATGTTTAATAAGTGAAGAAATTTTCAAATCTTCTAAATATTTCCATACATTTATTGGGCGACCATCAAATCCTATAGATTTTCTATTCTTCATTTTCTTTGAAGTCTCCTCAACTTCTGTTTTACTAATATGACAATAAAAATGAAAACCTTTTTTGTTATTAAGGATATTAATATACTAACCTTAATTGATATTTTAAAATCTTTATTGAAAAATTTATCAAAATATATCACCCACTTATATTGAATATCCTCATCTAAGAAAATTTTGTTTTGATTTTCATTCTTAATACACTTGGCTAACTCTTTATTTTCTTATCTCTTTGTTTGACTAGTCTATAAATATCTTTTACCATTTTTAGTATCTAATCTATTATAGATCACTAAAATTAAAATTCTTAACATCACAAATTATTCTCTTAGACTTCTCATGCCACAATTTTTTTCCCAATTCTTCAAATTTTTAAATTTAAACTAATTTTTATAACAATACTTTTTTTATTGTCTTTTCTTGCACATTATTATTCCACCATTAATTATTTTTATTTATAAGAATTATTTCTTTTGATTCTCGAAGTATATATATTTCAGCTTATTTAATAGTATTTGTTATTTTAGTCCACGTAGCATTAGCTTCTTTATGATTCTCAATTCTCAAGATCTTGAATCATACTCTTAAAAATAATTTTATTTGTCTTTTAAGTGTCTCATGTAATTCTATGATAAAATTTTATTGTATTTTGTATCTTCAAACTCTTCATCTTAAAATTTGAAACTAATAATCGACGCAGAGTGGTTAAATGTTCACTTAGAATGAACTTACAATCTTTACAAACTCGACGATCCTTTTTTTATAAAAAATATTTAATTTGTGTTTTATTAGATCCATTTTTATTAGTGATAATATACTAATCTCTTTTTTAAAATAAAATATTAACAATAATAAAATCATAAGCCAAAGTAAAATTCAATATGACTACCTTTCTCACTAGCCACTCCAAAACATTAGCCACAATGAATATTTCTGAAAACTTCTATCACTTTATCAATGTGTCAATTTAAATCTCTTGCAATAAAAATTCTTTCTTCAATAAGTATCCTTTTTGTTAATTGTTTTAGGTCTTTCCAAATTTTTTTTGAACATAAATCTAAACTTATTTTACTTATTTGAGGAGCATAAACATTTATAATATTAATAATCTTAATATCAACAACAATCTTTATAACTATAATTCTATCTCCAATTATATTCGTTTTTACAACTTTATTTTTCAAACTCTTATATATAATTAGACATACACAATTTCTAGTACGACTTCTACCCGAATATCGAAGTTTAAAATCTAAGCTATCAATTTCTTTTGTCTTATCTCCAGCCTATTTAGTTTCTTGAATGCATAATATATTTATCTTTCTATGAACCATAATATCTACTAAATTCATTAATTTATGTGTTAGAGTACCTATATTCCAATTTCATAACCTAATATTAGTTTTATTGACTAACTTCTTTGCCCGAATCCATCCATAACACTATACTAGGGAGCTGGTGTAGCGGGCATTGCATATTTTTTTGTGTATAAGAGCCATAGAAGACACCTCTTCTAGAGGATGCCCTAGTATTTACACATTAATTTAAGGAATTCCTGTCATGATTTTATCGAGAGGATGCTCTAGTATTTACACATTAATTTAAAGAATTCCTGTCATGTTTTTTCGATAAATAATGTACGGATACCGTCGACTATCGAACGTATCCTCCATTTTTCGCATTTGGGGCTTGATACCCGACAATGACAACGATTTAGATACAACTCCGAAATAAAAGAAAAGTTCCTTATGGATTATTTGCGATCACAAAAGCATTTTGTTAAGCAAATAATTACTTTTAATTATTTAGTATTTGTTAAGAGAAGATATGCCATTATTTAATTTTTGTATATCTCATCAAAATCCTTGTATGTAATCTACACCCATTTCATATGATCAAGTTTAGCATCCATTACCTAAATTGTACATAGAAGAACAAAAAATCTACTCATCACATCATTAAGTTTATTATCAGATCCAATGCAATTTTTAGGGAGAAAATAATATTCTTGTGTAAACTTACTTCACTTGGCATGTTTTTGCCCCAACTTCTTTGAGAACTGAATCTTTTCAAACCCTTTGACAAGCATGAAAACTTTGAATTTAATGTGTTTTTTGTTTCGTTTTTTGCCAAGCATAAATTGTTTGAACCTTAACATTATCAATTGATAATTCATTTCTAAATATAAAAAAAATCTTGAAAGATCACAAATGGAGTTACAAAATAAAATTTCTTTTTAAAGATTTTGATATAACATTTCAATTTGTAAAACTTTGAAGACATTCTAATAATACACCAAATGATTATTTTATGTCTTGCCATGTATTAGAATATTATCAAAATAAACCAGAAGAAATTTTGCAATGAATGATCATAACATATGATTTATTTTTCTCATGAAAGTACTGGATGTATTAGTTGATCCAATATGCATCACAAACTGTTCACATAGGGGTTGTTTGGTCGGTAACATTAGGTGTGCACTACATTTCTAATGCATGGATTCTAGAAATTCAGCTGTTTAATTGGAATAAATTTAATTTAATGTAAAATAGCATTGTATTTGAAATTCACACACTTCATTTTCTATGGTTTTGGATTTCGGCCAATTTGGCCTAATTATAATAATACAGTTTAATGTAAATGTTATCGGTTGCCTAAGCATTGTGGTGGAATACATTTTAGGTTTACAAGCATAAATTTAATACACATCCAAATTATAATTTTTCTTTTGTATTAATCAAATTAATATCATTGCATATTTAATTTTATTTGTCAGTAATTCGGTTAATAATTTTACGGAGAATTTAGAATTTCATTAATTTATGATCTGTTAAGTTTGATGACTAATCTAGTATTTAAGTGATATTGTAACTCAACAAAAAATTTTGATTTTAAGTTGATGTAGGATTACTTACTATTAGGATTCCAAATGCAATTAATATGATGTGTAATATGCTTTAATGTAAATAAAAATTGAGAATTCACAATCCACAAGTTATCAATCACTCTAATAACTCACTTTATATAAAAATAAATAAATATGATAATTCTTAAGCCTGATAAATATCCAATAATTTTAGAAAATAATTAACAAAATGTAAACCTAGTGAGTATATCTGTTATTTTTGCCAAAATTAGATTGTCTAAATCTTAAGTTTGATCAAAATCAAGAAGTTTAAACTAGCCAATGACACATTATGTAGAAGAAATATAAAAAATGAAAAAAATGAAGAAGGCCTTAAGCTATTACAAGGAGATTACTTCTTCTAAAATTAGATAGTCATACTTGTACCACATTCTAAACGACTTTTAAAGGAGTCATACATCAACATCCACTCGAAAGATTGAAAACTAGAAGAGAAATTTTATTTTGATATACATTTATGAATTTCTTGTCTCGTATCACTATTTGTAAAATACTTATGTCTATATTAGTAGATAAAGTTGACAAGGATCAATCACAATTTAAATTTAGATTAATCTTAAATTAATTTTAAATATCCAAATTGTAGATCGAAAACTCCAAAAATTGTTGAATCTTAAACAAAATGCTATAATTGCATCAGCAGGCCATACGCTAACCATCAAAGGTGGAATATATATATCCATTGTGTGCATTAACCCAAATCAAATCAACTTGAAATCTTGCCAACCATTCAAAACAAACAATAACCATAAAGAACCAACTTATTAAAGAAACCAACTCTTAAAAAAATACATAAACTAATTTGAAATTAATACTGTTGTGATGCTTCCCATAATAACAAATGCAAAGATTTTCATCATATTTGACCACATTTTGATTCCTAATTTGGACTTGATGCTCTTTGGGTTGCTTGAGGGGTATAAAACTTATTTTTTAAGATAATGCTTTTATTTCCAATCACTTCATGGGCGAAAGCAATTTCTAATTGCATAAAACCAAAAAAAGCAATTTAGGAATTTCATTGATTTACAAATCGTGATCCACTTCAAGCAAATGGACCCTTAGACGAGTTAATTTTGCTTGAAACGGTAACCCAACAAATTATATTCTTCATATGTATTTGAATTCATCTAAATCTGATGTCTAATGCAAGAGTATTTTTATTGCTTTTCTTGAAGAGGATAACTATAGGTGAGATAAAGAAACATCCATGGTTCTTGAAGAACTTGCCAAGGGAACTGACTGAAACAGCACAGGCAGTTTATTACAAGAAGGATAATAGTGCACCCACCTACTCCCTACAGAGTGTTGAGGACATTATGAAGATTGTTAAGCAAGCGAGGAATCCGCCTACCTCAACCCCTCCGGTGCCAGGATGGGCTGAAGAAGAAGACGAGGAAGCGGAAAACAAAGATAAGAAGCCAGCTGAAGAGGAGGAAGAGGAAGAGGAAGAGGATGAGTATGAGAAGCATGTCAAGGAAGTCCAAGCCACTGGTGAATATGAAATCAGTTGATTGAAAGAACTCGGTGCATTCCTTTTCTTTCTACTGTTTGTTGTGAACACCCTACTGTTTTATCATTTCTGTTCAATTGTTTCTTACCTTATGTAAAAAATAACTGGATGATAATATATTTATATTATGAAGCCTCATTTCTCTTGTAAGTGTGCTTTGATCATTTGATGACAGTACGAAAAGAGATGAGTGATTCTAGCTTAATTTGAAACTTTAATATTTCACCAAAAATACACACATAAGGATTATTTAGTGAGTACTGGTGTTTACTGATCAGGATAAAGCTGTTAGAGCAAGTGAAGATTAGTTATGAAAAATGGTGCTGTGTTTATAAAGATAGGTGTTAGAGCTCTCGCCATACTGGCAACTGTACCAATATTAGTTGTTTTAGAGTTTGAAGTGCCAAGCTTAAGATTGAAAAGATGTTAACATATTTCAATGAATAATTTATTAGACTGATTAATATAAACTAACTAAAAGAAAGTTTAACCTTTTGATTTTCTCAAATGTCAAAATTCAAGCTTAATTCTCCATCATCAACTAGAGTTTTCAAAACCGTGATTAGTCAAGAGAGCTCTAAAAGTCTTAGAAAACACCCATACTGCAACATGTTAGCCACCCTATATATATATATAATTGTAGAGTATACTGTAATGATTTAATGATTGAATTGGTGTATTCTTATCCGTGCATTCAATACTATATCCTTAAACAGTACAGCTACTGTATCAGCTCTGCTTCAAGTTTCTGCACAGGTGTGGTGATCATATGGAAGACTAGGACGTGTTGGTGCCGTCTAAAACCTCCTCCTTCTTTACAGTATATAGTAGATCAACTTCTTATTGCTTTCATCTTTGGTCCTAAAATGTGGACTTTTGAATCCTTGAATTGTCTTGATAACTTTGAAAAATCAATGAAATCCAAAATGTTTATGAGAAATCTTTGTATCTTGTCATACACTATGTTCAATTACTCTATAACATAATTTTAATATATGACACATTGTCGGTCAACTTTTTTTTTGATTGATTAATTTTGAAAATATGATGTATGAAAATAATTTTTGAGATTTAATTTAAGAATAAAAGATATATATAGTTTGAGTTTTAAAAGTAGTATGTTTTAATTTTTTGAAAAAATGAGACCAAATGGATCTCATTAGTCTGATAGTTTGCATAATCGTGTCTGATACCGCAAATACTACATCTTCCCGAGAGATAAGTGTAGACCTCAGCGATAGACCCAATCCTGCAAACTAAGAGATTTGTGACATCCGTTTGGTCTGCGAACCTTTTATATATGACCGACAAATTCCCCTATTTAATACAAAGATTAAATAGGGTTTATTTTACCTGGGTTCCAAGTTCCCTATAGAGGCAAGTCTCTATAGTTCATTACATCCCAAATGACGGGAGTCATTTGAGAAAACTCTCGATAATGATCAATGGTTCTAGTCTTCAAGAATTCAAGGTTCAGGTTTTCAAGGTAGGACGTAGAAGAGCAAATGGGAGTGGCTCAAACATGAACAGTTATTTCAGGAGTCCAAAGGAAAGAAAAGGTAGGGGATGCCACAGATCCTAAGGAGAACCCTCAGTGACTTCCCAAACTATCCTACTGTATGGTTATGTTTTGGAAAAGATGTTATTCAATAGTTCAATCCTGCCAATTTTATTACTTAGGACTTACATTTGCATAATACCCGATTATACAAATAGCCTACAGAGAAATGAGGGTTGACATCGTACCGTACAATAATCTCGGAAACTAAATCGAGTTAGGACTCATGCTGCACAACTTGGTTGTGCAGGGGCCTAAAAGAGGGTGAGGATTTACGTCGCTCTAGGCGAGCTACCTCGAAGTCCAATGGGTTGTTATTATACTAAGAAGGGATAATGCTGAAGAAGATCCTCTTGTTGCTCGCTCCAAGCTCCTCGTCCTGCTGTCCACAAAGTTGGTTCCAAGTTCCTGTCGTCGCGATGGCTCCAGGGTTTAAGTGTTTGAAATTGGTGATTTGTGCTTCACAGTTTTGGTTTCAATGGGGGGTTCAAGTTGATTAGAGCGACACCGGTTAGGATCCCACGGTTCCCTCCTTCCGGCATCACTATTTTCTTTTGAACTTACTTAGTGTAAACGAGTTGTGAAACCCATTTAAACCGGGGAGATCTCGTTAGCAACCGTGGGTTACCTCCTCCGAGGGACTCCGTAAGTTCGAAAGAACGTGTTATGTTTTGTTTCGTTTTTTAATTTTGAAAAA